AGTCGAGAGAACAGCGTGTGCAGCGACACAAGCGAGAGCAGCGCTGCAGACTTTGAAGAGCGCAGGATTATGGGACGCAGCTTCAGTCACGACGAAGCAATGCACAGCGACACCAGCGATGGCATCACAGAAGAGGACAGTCCCACAGCAGTGTTGCTGCAACCTCCCAGCAGATTTGAGGTGAAAGAGAGTTGAATGCTTCAAAGTATTCAGCTCAGAGTAAATGTAACATTTAGAAAAGTTTCAGCATTGAGTTTGTTGTTTTTACACTCATTTTGATTAAATGTATGGTCTGCATGATTCAAAGTTACTGCACTTGTGTTATTTCTTTTTAAGTAGTGTCCCAGCTTTGGAAAGAGCTTTAAGTTGGTTTAGTATTTGTTACCTGAACACCTTTCTTTGTATAGTTCTTAATCTCATTTTGGTGTGAAAGATTCTGCAATATATCCGAGGACAAATATATGAAAGTGTGACGCAACATCAGTTTCCTTACTGTTATTTCTTTTTTTTATTTCTCTTTCTCAGGCGTTTTCAGGTACAGTTATAGAAAAGGATCCAATGCCCTCAGCTGTCCCTCATCTGACCATCTCTCCACCAGCTCTGCCAACAATACTGGAGAGGAAACAGGAGGAGGTGGCGCCTGATGTTGCCCCACCCCAGCAAGCCCCGAAGAGGGTGTCAAAGTTCAAAGCTGCCCGATTGCAGCAGAAGTGACTGTTAAGAGGCAAATATTCAGCTTTTACATGAACATCTTTTGTGAAGCCTTTGTTTCTCTCTGGTAACCGAACAAAAAACAAACCACATGCTCATTTCTTTGCACGCCTTTCATCCACTGATTTCTGTTTCTATCTGTGAAGTAGAGCACTTAACAAATCAGCCTTTGCATAACACTGCTTTTTTACGGTTTATTGCAGCCTCTTTTGCTTATCTGCTTTAAAAGACATTCTTCTTTTAGTCTTGTTTAAGACATTTGCAGTCTGTCATACGTTTACCTGTCTACTCTTCTGTTGATCTGTGATATCGCCGGGTTAACTCCGACTGTAGGCTTCGCCACATAAGATGAGTTGCCTTTTTTGTTTGTTTGTTTTCCCCCAGTATTGATTATTAAACAGAATCAGGTCTCGTTAGCTCTCATTTTACCTTCTCTTGACCTGTCCTACTGAATGTATGTATTCCTTTGTGGCAAGCTTTATGTAAAACAGAAAAAAATATTGATGGAAAGTAAAAGAAAAATAAATGATTTTGACTACAAGTCTTGATTTCTCTTTGTTCCATAAGAGAAAATAATTCTTACTCTCCTACACAAGGAGATGGATCTATATTTCATTTATGGTCTGCTGACAGGGCTTTATTGTGTTTCTCAATATCTTATAGCAAAACGTTTTTCTCCAGTTGTTGCTGCACACAGCACAGTAATAATGGGTAATAATATTTTAGTTTTTTTAGTTTTTTGCCTGATGCTTAGTGTAAATTGTTTCAGTCTTTAAATAGCTGTTACTAGACGCTGAGATAAGGCTTTTATGAATTATTGTTACTCCTAGTGAATTTCCTGTTATGCAGTGGAATTAGAAGAGCTAAGTAAAGCACCATCCGCCATCGAACTTTCTAAGGCAGCAATAATGCTTCATCAAATCTGGAAGTTAATTGAAAGCACAATGGCTCCTCCTGTTAGTAAAAACTCAAGTCCTAAAGGAAGAGAAAGAATTCCCAAGACAAACAAATCGAGGATGTTTTGGGTGCAACACCAACATTTCACTGCTAAAGACCAGAAGCAAGTATTATTTACAGATCAAAGTCAGAAGTTCATGGTTGCATTAAATGTGCTTAGAAGGATCAACTGTAAAACGACTGCATGAATGTTGAGAAATATGCAGTTCAGAGAACAGTGAGTGAAAAAGACCATTCAAAGAATAAAATATGAGACGTATTTTGCAAGTTGTTTCCTAAAACAAAATATTCATTCGTTGTATTTTATATTTTTTAATGTATTTTTTTTACATAAATGGCCTATTTGAAAAATAACTGCTTAATAAACACATTATAAATTATGCTCTTTTAAGTAACAATCACGTAACCTTCAAAACTAAGTGACAGTTTCCTGTGACTCTAATTACAGTTTCAAAACAATCAGGAAAATCTAAAAGGGCCTTTTTTTTAGCTGGATGAAGTAGTGAGGGGAGGTGTTCCTGTTTTTAGTGGCCTAAAAGGTCAAAATGCTGAACTCAACTGAGCACCTATTGATTACTAGCACAGCAGCGGATGCACGTGCACTTCATCTACACTGAAATGCAGCTTTAATTAAAGCTATGATTTTTGAATTAAACACTCTATCACTCCCCTTTTAGTTAAATGGTGGGAGTGTATGTCTCTGATAAGAAGCTTTGAAACAAGTCCAGAGGTGACACCCCTCACCCTCCTCCCTTCCAGGATTATTCCTCCAATATGAAAATCCAGGTAGCATGAGACAGATTAGGCAATGCTTAACATGCTAGAGTTGTGTTGGTGAGACACAGATCAATGGTCTTATGTAGGTTAAGCTGCGCAGGTATATGCTGGAACTACGTTTCAAAGAAAACTTGCATACAATCTATGTAATGAGCTGGAACACACTCAAGATCTACATTTCAGGGATTATGAGGGATTTTAAGAGTTGTATGATTAGGGATTCAGCAGGTATTGTTGTCCAGACAGGTGCTTGGGTCTGAGAGGGGGAGCTTTTAGTTCCAAATGACAGAAGAATGGATTAAACAGCAGCCAGTGTATCTGCTTCACTGCTATTTGAACATATGTTCTGAAATATCCAACGGTCTTGTACTTGGATCATTTACACTCACTGCCTTTAAGAGCAACTGGTTTCTGTTCCTCACTTTTCCCACTAATGAGGCTCAGGTGGAAATCACAGGAGAGAAACAAATGTCCAGGACCAGCTTTGTGGTATGATCTTTGCGCTGCTCTTTCGATCCTTAATCTCTTAAATCCTCTGAAATGTCATTTTTTTGTTTGCTTTAGTTTGCTTTGTGTGTGTTATTAAAGCCTATATATTCATAAATAAAATCAATGGGACGACTACAGCAGCATATTATAGAACTGTTAGAGCTGAATTAATTTGTCAATAATTTATAAACCGATTGAGAGAAAATGAGAAACTTGTAACATGTTACCAACTAGTTATCAGTGTGAGCTTATATTGTCTTATATTGATAAATTCAGTACCTTTAAGTTTTGGCCAGAAAATGTAAAAAATTAAAGATTAAAAAAAAAAAAATCACTTCCCCCACTGAGAAACAAACAGTGGTTACGGCCTTAATGATGATAAAAATCAATGCTTCATAGAAAACACCTACATCTACAACTAAATAAAGACCTGTTGATGTCTGTCTATCTATCTATCTATCTATCTATCTATCTATCTATCTATCTAGATATATAGGTGTATAGGTGACTAGTGTGATGTTCCAAAAGATTACATTTTTGATAGTAAGTTCAACTTTGTCTCCACTTTTTTCCCCTTCTTTTTCCTTTTTTTAATCTATCTAAAGATAGATGAAACAGATAGATAAAAAAAATCTATCTATCTATCTATCTATCTATCTATCTATCTATCTATCTATCTATCTATCTATCTATCTATCTAGATAGATAGATAGATAGATAGATATTCTCTTATCTATATTTTTGCATTAGAAGCAAGATGGCAAGATTTTCTTTTCCTTTTTGGAGAATACTGAATGTCAGGCGGAGAGCAGAAGTGTGAGAGATGTTTCAAGCCTCCAATTAAGCTTTCTTAATAGAGTCATTTACCACCTATAATCACTCAGGTATAATCCCGTCTTCTCTTAAACGTCGAAAAACCCATATCGGATACGAAAAAAAAAAAGCAGCAGCTGCAGCACAAAGTGCTCCATACAACATCTTCCCGATATAAATGTGTATAATTTTTTAAAGATGAGAGCTCCATACAAATCCTTCGTGCTTTCACAGAAGTTTTCAAAAATAAAAGCACCACTCGTGCAGGTAATCCCCGGGACTAATGTGACATGCATGATATAACATAATACTTCTACAAGCATGCATATCGGGAGGGGGGGGGGATTGATTTCTAAAGTCTGCGTTCTGGAGACGCTGGTGCACATTTTACGCACGGTACCAGTCTGTTACACTTACATACCAGCGGCCAGATGAGGGAGACATACGGCTTCGGGACATGTCGAAGTATCCCGAGTAATTTTTTATAAGATTTCATTACCTCTTTCTTCAACTGGAAATACTACAGAGCAAAGCGCGTTGCTGGCTTCGTCTGGCTAAACCGTGTAAACGCTTTTTTTTTTTTAGACCGAGGAGGAAAAGGTAGTTAAAGGAGGAAATCAGTGCGCTACTGTGTGCTGGGCGTTTATGATAAAGCGTGTGAAGCGTACAGTCCGTCAGTCAGCAGTCAGTCATCCAGTTCAACATCACTCTCCACTGAACTCCAGCTGTCACATCGCGTCCTCCGCGCCTCTTCGAACTGGCCAGGTAAGAGAAATCACTGCGACTCTTAAAGATTTACCCAAGTTATTTGTGAAAAGTTTCTGACGAGTCGGATTCTGATGGACACGCGTTTCCCAGGGATGCCACTGTTGGTTTTCTTTCTTGTTAAAAAGGAAGTAATGGCGAGGGCTGAAAGGTGACTAAGGAATTTTCTACAGCTCATCGTAAAAATGAGTCGAGAGTCATCCAATAGAATGCAAAAAATGCCAAATCTGTGTATTTCTCTGGTGTTTATTGAGCATATAATTAGTATACAGTTAGACCACGAGCATCATATCCTATCATATTTCACTGCAACCTTCAATTATATCATATTATTGCATACAGGTTTTTTCTTTCACATAATGTAAAATTATGATTTATAAACATCAAAAATGAGGGTTTTTATGCTATAAGTTGTGTAGTTATGAATAAGAATGACGCAAGGTGGCTGTGCATTACAATCCCCAGTTTGCTTGTTAAAGACATGCAGGAGCCCAAAAGAATTCACAGTTTTAAAGTTGTAGTTTTGACACCTCGAGCCGCATTAAAAGCCCACGTTTTAACCTTTTTTCTTAACTATCACCTGTACAGAGCGGCACAGCTACTTTCAAAGCCACCCTCACCCTCTGCCCCCCCCTTCTCCTTCCTCCTGTTTCCAAATGCTCTCCTTTGAAGCGATGATGCCCCATCTGTCATATGTGAGCAAAGAGAGACCATGCTCTGCTCTTCTCAATTACTGAATTCTCCTCATGCCAGCTCCGGTGGGACAGGAGGAGGAGCAGGTGGGTGGCAGTCAGTACGATCAATCAACATGAAATATTCAGCTTTGAATATACACATCATTTACTAATACTGCTGCTGCTCTCCTTGTTAGAAACACCCTGAAAAATAGTTGGGGTGCTTGTCTAAAGCGTTTTATAACCGAGAGCGTGCGTGAGCTGTGACACAGTTCCTGATGAAAAATTGGGCCAGTGCATATTCAGGTGGCACCACACAAAAAAAAGGGTAAACTATACGCTGCACCGACACCAGAGGGGTATCAAAAATTATTATCATTATGACTGAGAAGAAATTAGAGAGAGAGGGAGGGTGAGTGGATGAAACTGTATTAAATTTAGCGCCACAGCCGTTTTCTCATTATGCTGCGGTAAATTCATGCAGCTTACATGACAAAGCTCTGCTTGGCAACTTTCTCCCCTGATAGAAGCACTTGTTTGAACATGAGGCACATGATTTGAATATCTGTAATCCACGCTGAAATCAACAGGCCAGATGAACTTTTTGGCACCTTCTTACCACCACACTGAGTAGGATTTTCTCCCCCCCAAAATGCTTAAGCTAGTTAGACTTTGGCTTAAAATCACTTCGAGTATGGAGACAAAGCAATGCAAAAGTAATTTATTTCGTCTTTCCCCGATGCATTGTGTGGAAATCGTAGAACTTTGACCTTCCCAGTCATTCAAACTCTTCAGGAAACTTTGAATCTGCTAAGTGTCTGCACTGTGATAATATCTCTGTGATGTTGCCTCATGAAATTTGCCCGAGTACTATGGCCTTAAGTATTTGAGCTATGAGGCAATACAGTGAAAAGCATAGCCCCCTCATATGAGAACACAACAGTGAATAATTAATAACCTTGCTCCCAATTCCAGGAAAACAATAGCATATTGTAGGAACGTTGCGCTAATTTAACAAGAGGAGAAAAAACAAAAAAACTTTGACAAAATGTGGAATGCTCTGCCATTGTTGTAAAGCATGTCTGTGTGAGTTTCGCTCTAGTTGTTCCATCCACTGTTGCTTTTCACACTTTCTATACTGCTGCTCCATACTCGCACACAATGTAGGGGTTGCATGCTGTTTGCATGCTGTATACTGTTGTAGTGTAATGTTGTTTGCCTTTGAGATTAATCAGAACCCATTAAATACCCCTCTCTCACCTGCTGGCAGTATGTGAGGTGGAAGTGCACATGCAGGAAGCTATTTTCCACAGGCCTCCTCTCTTGGCTGTCAGCTCCCATTAAGGGGGAAGGTGTCATATCTGTAACACAGCTGAGTGCAGATGGCAGAGTGGAGGGGATGGCTCACCGATTTAAACAATGATTAATGAACAGAGATGGAAAACAAATTACATTGGACTATTGGAGGCAGGGAATTGTTTTTATGAAAATGTTAATTGTGTCTGCCAGGCTGATACCACGAGTGGGGGAAGGGTGGAGTGAGGGCAAGGTAGTGAGGCAACCAGGGGGCTAGTGATAGGACGTCTACTACTCCCCTGGCTCAGATTATCGGCGTGTCTCAGCATGCAGTGTTTAATACCGTACCTTGGCTTTAAGACCTCTAATGTGCCATAACTTTCAAGGTTTGGCTTTTTATGATGAACCCCATGAAGAATTGTCGCCCACCACTGCACCAATTAGCGTTATCTCTAATAATAAGTGGTTGTAAGTGACGAGAGAAGGCGCCCTGTTCTAGTTGTAATTATTGCAGGCGGGTGCAGCTGCACTACTTAGGGAGATGATGATAATTATTTTTCTTTTTTTTTTTTTCATTGCGGGTTGATTATTTAAGAGCATCATACACTCATCAGAGTAATCAGGAGAGAGTGATTAGTGAAAATCCACGAGGCTAACAGCTGCCACATTAAACACTTGCCTCTGTTGCCAACACACAGAGGCAGAGTCCTTCCACAGGACAGAGACGAACGAAAGCACTTCACCTTCAACTCCAGGAGCCGCGTGTGTTTGTTAGAAAGTCGAGGCTCGAGTTACACGCAGAATTAGAGTAAACAGAGCTCTCTGCGAAAAGACACGTTGTTGTTGTGCACCAAGGTCGATCTTCAGCGCTTCGGTTAACAACTGCAGGAGTTTGTTGCAGGGGAGTAAAAGTTTGATAAGGCATTTTGGGAAGTGTGGGAAAAATCACTCTTCTTCCCTAATGTCCTCTGTTGTGTTTAGGTGGGCACCTTTTGAACGTTCCTCTGGATGGTGACTCTTTGTCAGGCCTAATTCAGCATTATCAAAAAGAAAAAAGAACACAGTCCCAATTAGAGATGTGTGCCATGACCATGTCCGGTGGTCATGCTGCGTTGCTTGCCACTGTGTAAGGCCTGCTAAACTGAGGGCTAATTCTCTTAGCCCAGATGTTGCCTGAGCACAGTCCTGGGATCCCACTGGGTTGATGAGCTCAATCAGTGAAATGATGAAAAGATGATTTTGTCCCTGTAATTACAGTGTGTAAACTACTTAGCTAGGATTGCAAAGGAAGTCATTTTCTAATTACGCTGGTACCCCGTTGTCTAATGGTGGATGTTTTGTTGTTTTAGAGAGCATGTGAGAGAGAGTGAGAGAAAGGGAAGAAGAGCAGGAGGAGGAGGAGGGATGTACAGTATGTGTGAGATAGATAGATTGATGGGGAGAGGAAGAAGGAGGAGAGAGAGAGAGAGGAACTTCATGAGGGGTCTGTGCTCTGCTGCTGCGGCTGAAAAAAGACCATCACAAGGGCAAGATGGCTGCCAAATGAGAGTTCATTGAATTATCAGCCCAGCTAATGTGCCTCGGATTATGCTCTTTGTTTGTCAGTTTTTTTTGTTGCCGTGGATGCCATAGCTTAATGAGATACTGTAAGTGGCATTACCAGACTCCTGCTGTGATTTTGTGATGACTCGTTTAATGACTTTTGTTTTAGTGCCTTCAAGTGCTTTTTTTTCCACGACTGAAAATAGACACATCTAGTTTTTTTTTCTCGTGTCTTCCTTTCACTTTTGCAAATATTGGCCAATGCGAAAGACAAATGCAGTGCAAGAAAGAAATTGATCCTTTCGCAGTTAGGAGGGCTGCTAACTTAAACGTTGTAGCGAGCGAGAGTTTGCATCCGCCCGGGGAAGTTGTCGAGAAAGCAAAACATGTCAGTCTGTTGCAGACTGAAGAAGCTGTGTTCTTTGAGATCTGTGCGAGTTATGTTGGAGCCGACTGCTGTCATGCAGGGCCCAACCATCTGATGCAGCCTACACCATGTGGATAGGCTTCTCTTCTGCGAGGCATCCCCTCCTCACCCCACACTGTTAACACACCCCATCGTACGCCAAAGCTTTGTTTGTGTCCAGAAAGAACAGGTGGTCTGTGCAAACAAGAGCAACTGTTTACACATTAGTGATCTTAAATACATTCTATATGCATGTGCCTCCGTGTGTGTGTGTGTGTGTGTGTGTGTGTGTGTGTGTGTGTTATGGAGAGATAGAGACAGCATGTGAAAACGGGTGTGTTTGCAAATGCCTGACAAAGAAGAGTGAAGTTTATATTTCCTCACTCCGAAGTGTGTGAGAGCTAATGAAAACAATGAAGGAATTTCACAAATCCAGAATTTATTTACAACACACACACACACACACACACACACACACGCACACACATGGTTATGATACTGCTGCTATTCACCAGAGTACCTGTGCACACTTTCACTCTTGCACGCCGATTGGAGCCATTTGTCATCTGAAAAGACTTCGACGCCACCAACTCATACAGGTACTCACACAGCTGGTTGCCTCTAAGCAAACCTGCTGTTTTCAGTCTGAGTTCCAGGTGCTATACCCTGTGGCTTTTAGCATGTTGCCAGAGGAACTTATTTTTCCCTTTGCGGCGCGTTCAAGGCCGCTAATCTGCATTGCTGACTGAGACAAACAAAATGAATCGAAAGCCACCTGAAATAGCCGATTCTCACATAACTGTTCATCACTGCTGTTTCACTTGCACGCCAGGTTTATTTTTAAGGGGCACAAGACAGTTTTTTGGGGTGGTTTGATAGTGGTAGAAGGAGTGGCATAGATTTACGTACAACACCCGCAACAAATGTGTATGTATTCTTTTATGAGTTCTTTAGCTATTACTCACAAGGAGCTAGTTTGTCAGTGCTGTGTGTGCTCTTTCTGTGCTCTGTACTCCTGCAGTAATGAATGGTGCTGGTTAGACTATTCTGTCTCCGTCAGGCTTTTGGGGGGCCTACAGAGGAGCTCCTATAGGGTTTCATTAATCTGGCTGTCAGAAAGTATATGTGTGCTATCTTTTGTATGGGTCATGGTGGGCAGCTGTGTTACCACTGCCCTCTTCCTTGAGCATGCTGTTCATCCCCTGACATTGCGGTCCACGGGAGCGTTGGCTGGCTGATTTGGTGGGTGGGCACGTGGATGAAGTGAGATACAGGGGACATAAAGCATAGCATGGGGCTTTCACTGTCTTTACATAAGCTCATGTGTGATAAACAGTTGCCTTCTGCAGCCTGGGAAGTCAGGAATTCCAGGAATTTTGAAGTAGGCTGAACCATTTTACAAAGAATCTGGGACATCAACAGACATATTAAATGTCAGACTGCATGCTTATTTGCTCATATGAGGCATGAGCATCTGCATCCAACTCTATAATTACATATGTGTTTCATTTTTAACTGCATGCGTTCACTATTGAGTTGAGTTTTTATTACTGTATCATGCGAACTGTTTCCAGCCTGCCTGGGTAAACAGAACACATCTAAGCCATTGCATGTAGATTTTCACACATTATTACAGGGGACGGTAAATAGATACATACTGAAATTAAACAAGGATTTCCAGTTTTTGGTCATGTGAAAACAACGTACGCGAAAAGGCTGTTATCAGTCATGTTAACAGCAGATGATCTTTAGCTTTCTTTGCTTGTTAGAGGGCTCGCTGTAGCTGTTGGGAGGAGGCTTTTGCAGCCATTTGTGGTGCATTTATTGTATTTTTCAGTCAACAACCAACATCAATTATTAATGGATTTTTATTAATTTTAACCGCTGCTAAAAAGAAAAATGTAACACGCACTTCTGATCTATAAATTTCATTCCACTTTCATCACTCTAGGCCTCGACGCATCCATCCATCCATCCTACATGGCAATGCACTACAAGGTAAAAATATCGTGTTTCCACTCTCTTGTAGGTCAAATCTTTTATAGAATCCCCTTCGCCTGACAGCGGTGAAAGTAAATATAACAGTGTTTGATATTGTCACATCTAAAATCATCCCGAATGCACAGCCTCCTTGGCTGGTTGTAATGCATGTGTCACATTTTTGTTTCCCTTTTATTGCCTGCGCTAAATCACACCTGCTCCTTGTTCGTATATGTGCGTCCACACCTAAGAGGCGCTACTGTGACACAATGCTTCATAACAATCAAGCGCTCTCTCAATCTGCACTAAAAGAGCCTAATCCACTCTGACAGTGAAAACACCTGATGGCCCCGCTCCCATCTCCACAGATTCCCACCGAACCCAGTCCGCACGCACAAGCGATGACGGCTCTCTGCCTCGTTGCCATGCGCAGTTAATCAGAGAAATATCACTTTAGTAAATATGAAGTAGATCTAGTGTATGCTAATATCATTCGCTCACTTTCTTCCTGTCAGATGTGATTAGGTCAGGCCTGTAGCCTTACATTGATCTGAGCTCGGTGCAGACACACTGCTCACACCAGCCATGGCTGCAGGCAGCTCTTTATCCGGGTGGTTTTATGTGCAACATTTTCATGCCTGATCAAACTTGCTGTGGACTAGGGGTAGAGCTATCTCCTTGACTAGTAGCTGACTAGGTATTCCACATTTAGGATATTATTTTAATTATTTAAACATATATATATATATATTTTAGGGGGCACCAGATA